TTTTATAATGAAGAGCTGTGAAATCCATGGAGACCGGTACAGTGGCAGTTTGTACAATTCGCCCGAACTGTGGCCTGAAGAAAGATCTTCATAGGATTAAAAAGTCAAAGTTAGAAAGAAAAGAAAAGCAGAATGTGGTCTCCCTCTGAGCAAGAGAAAGAGAGGCCAAGAACTCACAGAGCAAGTAAAAGGGAACCATAGGCTAAGAACTCTCCCTCCTTAACAGTAACCTAACCCTCCCTAGGCGTGGACCAGCAGACAGAAGATGGGTGCCGGCCAGAACTTGGGGTGGGGTGGGATGGGAGGAAAACTCAGCAGAGGGCTTGACCCAACAGAATCAAGACACCAAGAAGGTAGCCCAGACAAGTCTTGACTTCATAGTCAATCTTAAAACGAAGATAGACAATATAACATCAAAAACAAAATGCTCTGCTGATTTGAACCTACCCTTCATTTGAAAACAGGTAAAAATAAAGATGAGAGCCGGGGAGATGGCTCGGCATGTGTAGCTCCCAACACCGATGCAGAGGTGAGTGGGTGTGGTGACCTTCCACAACCGTTAACACTCCAAGGCAGAGGGAACAGACCATTGGAGCAGCTGCCTAGCTAGACGAACAGAATCAGTGAAAGACCTTGCCTCAATATTAGAGGTAGAGAGCAACTGAGGAAGATATCTTATGTCACCTTCTGGCCTACACACTCACACACACACACACACACACACACACACGCACACGCACACGCACACGCACGCACGCGCACAAGTATCTGCACACACATGTTCGTATATCCACATTTGAACTTGAATAAACACATATACAGCACATATACATGTACACACAAAAGACAGAAAGAGAGAAAATAGATGAAATATTAGAAAATGTTTGAAGAAATAAGGTATCTGCCAGTTGAGTCATTTTTGATCTTGGGACTGTGAGCAAGATCCAGGAGGAAATACCCCATGAGGAGATGAGCATTTGGGCCAGCTGTGGTGGCTCATGCCTGTCATTCCAATACTTAGGAAGCTGGGGCAGGAGGATTAAAAATTCCAGGCTTGCCTGAGTTACATAGAGAGATCCCAGGTTTAGAGGGGTGCTGGGTAGGAGGTGGAGGGGTGTTTGTGGAGGAGGTTGCCCTGTATTGCCTTTCTTTCCACTGACAATCTCAAAGACTACACCCCGGGAGTGAGGAGTAGCAGGAACTGAAATCCAGTCCCAAGGCCTCAGTGATAGTTAACCTTCATTGTTAATTGGATGAAATTTAGACAGGCTTCTGGCGTGTCTATACGGGCACTCCAGGGAGGTTGAAGTGAGTTGAGAGGACCTGCCCTGAGTGTGGATGGCACAGTTTCCGGTCTCTTTCCTGGAAAAAGCACTCTGACACCAGTGACTGAAGCCAGGAGAGCTCCTAAAGGCCTTGGTCCCAGGTCCCGTTGGTATTCTCTTTTTATACTCTAAAACCACAAGGTAAAGTGGGAAAGCAAGCAAGGTTTTACAGAAGTACGAGGTAGTCATTAGGTTGTTAAGGGCAACAACCCGTTGTTTTAGCTATTTCTCTAAGCCATTCTGTTCCAGATAGCAAGTAATGTCATGCCTGGCATTACAAATGATGCTTTCAGTAAATCAATAAATAAATCAATAAATCAATATCTAATAACTGGTCTTTTCTGTGTTATTCCACTTCAGCACCATCCCTGTGGTCAAGGCCTTCGGTCAAGTGAAAGGGAGAAAGGGAATGGAATACCAGCAGTCATCTGGCTTTGCTTCCTGACTGTGATCAGCCACCTCACACCCCTGCTGCTGCCCACAACTCCCCCATCATCATGGACTGCACCTCTGTGGTTGTATGAAAGAAAAATGGCCCCCATAGGGAGTAGCAATATTAAGAGGTGTAGCCTAGTTGGAGTAGGTGTGGCTTTGTTATGGGAAGTGTGTCACTGGGGGTGGGCTTTGAGGTCTCAGATGCTCAAGCCAGGCCCAGTGTGGCACTCTCTTCCTGCTACCTGTGGATCCAGATGTAGAACTCTCATCTAAATCTCCAGCACCATGTCTGCCTGCAGGCTACCATGCTTCCTGCCATGAGTGAACCTCTAAACTGTAAGCCAGTGCCAATGAAATGTTTTCCTTTCTAAGCATTGCCATGGTCATGGTGTCTCTTCACAGCAATAAAACCCTAACTAAAACAACTTCCAAACCGTGAGCCCAAACAAGCCCTCCCTTCCCTGAGCAGCTTCTGTCCAACACGGTATCACAGCAATAAGGAAAGCATCCCAACCTGTCATCCCTGATTTAATTCAGGTGACCTGGGTTTGCTAACACCTGAAAATTGTCACCTGCTGGTTACAAAGGGCTGAATGGAAGAAGATGCTGCCATTTTTCATAGAGAATGTCCAGCACACCATGAAAATTACCAGGCAAGAGAAGAACATATGACTAATAATCAAATAGACACTAGAAAAAAAAAACCCAGGGAAGATGTAATTAATAGGACTGTCAGGCACAGACCAGAATAACTGATAAATTTACTCACAGGTTGGGAGTTTTGCCAGGCTATAAACTACTTAAACAAAGAATAGATACATCAAAGGAGATACTTGGTAACCTGAAAGGTAAGCTAGAAGAAAAGACCCACTACAAAACATGGCGCTAGGAATGGGCAGAAACTACGAAAGAGACTAGGAGACATATGGCAGAAAGAGAAGTGTCGAAAGTCCCTGCGATAAGAGGTCCAGAAGGAGAAGAAATCAAGAATAGAGAAGGAATATATAAAGAGAAATGGCCAGGATTGACCTCAAAACTGACAAAAACCCATCAAACCGCAGACTGAAAAAACCTCTCGATCCAAACCCCATACAGAATAAATACAAAGATAATGACATCTAATTATATCATTGTACAAATGCTGAAAACTGAAGACAGAAAATGTTAAAAGAACAAGAAGGAGGAAAAGGCAGTTTAAAAGAAGTAAGGATAAAACCCAGTTTCCAAAAAAAAAAAAAAAAATTATAAAGTTAGACAATGGGACAATCCTTTCCATGTGCTAAAAGAAAATAATGGCCAGCACAAGAGTCTACAGCTAGTAAAACAAACGTGACATGTTTACAGTCATGGGGTAAACAAGTTTTAGGTGAACACCAGCAACAAGAAGAACAAAATAATTCTTTGCCTTTGCTGAGCTGCACTGCAGAGATCCTGCAGGCTATTCCTGAGGCAGAAGGAAAATGGAGGCTAGAAGCCCAGACAGGAAGGCAGAGAGAAGAGCAATGGGGGTGGGGTGGACCTAGAGGGATGTGGACTCACAACACAATCACGTGGGGGTCTAAAACACGGAAGGGACTAAACAACAAGGTGATGATGGAGCAACATGGTGGAGACAGATAAGAAGGGCTGCTCCGATCTAAGGTTCGAGAACATTCTGGGGAGTTGTAGGACACTAATTGATGTTTGCTAATACAGCGGAACTTGAATAAGTCCAGGTACATTTTGTAGTTCCTAATATAACCACTAAAGGACAGCAAAAGAATGCATCGCTAACAAGTAGGTCTTCCGTATAGTAAAATGAACCTTACTTTACAGAACAGCAAACGGGAAATAGAAAGGAAAAGGCAAAGCTGTGGAACTGGGGAGATGGTCAGCAGTTAAAGGCACTTGTTCTTCCTGCAGAGGACCCAGATTCAATTCCCAGCACCCACACGGTGGCTCGCAAACATCCGTAACTCCAGTTCCAGGGGATCTGACCCCCTCCTCCGACTTCCAGGGGCATCACTCATGGTTCACACACATACATGCAGGTGAACACCATACATATAAAATAAAGGTAATAAACCTGAATACCAAGTGGTCAGCCCCGAGATCACACATATTCAAGTAACACTCTGCAGACTGCGCAAGTTGTCTTTATGTCCTCATGCATAGATGTAACCACAAAGGAAGGAAAAGAGAGAATCAAGGAGGGAGAAAGGTGAGGAAGGAAGACAGGAGAGCTAGAGGGAGGAAAGGAAAGGGGAAATGATGTGGTTATATTTTAATTTCAGTATTTCTGTTTATTTATTTATAAATAAATCCCAAGGACCTAACCTGGAGCGTAAGCCTGGGGCCAGCAAGCTGTGGTGTTGGGAACCACACTGGGAGAGACATGGAAGGAAGTGTCAGAAAAAGTAGAAACAGTATGTGTGTCACAGGCTGCCTTCCCTAAAATGTTTCCAGAGTGAACTGAAGTGATGAGCTGGGCTGCCCTAAAGGGCCCAGGCAACCAGACCAAAAAGGATTGAGAATTTTCTAGCTCATCCCAATCGGTAGCCATCAGCTTAGGACATAGTGAGAATGCTGATACCTTCCTCCCTTACCGAGAAAAGCTTGACATGTGACAGCCATGTATCACAACTTTGTGACATAGGACCAACCTGTAGCCCCCACCTTACATACAAAGCAATGGAGACCTTGAAAAGTTGAGTAACAAGCTTAAAATCATACAGTCAGTGCCCAGCTAGAAACCAGACCTTCCCTCCAATTCCCCCTTCCCCAACTCTTTCAGCCAATGGCCTCTTAAACTCAAGTCAGTGGGTGTCTGATTTTGCCGTGTGTCTTCAGCTCCCCAAATTTGGAATGCTGATTTCTCAACCTACAGTAATATGGGGCAGCCAGTAAGTTGTGAAGACTGAATGAACTACGAAAGTCCTAGCACCCACCGGGAAGACACCCCCTACAATTCACCAAACTCAGTAGGTGAACTCTCCAAGCAGTGACTTAAGGGACAGGCAGGAACTAGCAACTGTGGTAGGCAGAGAGATGGGCAAAATGGCAGCATGTCCTTCTGGGAAGGGACCAGAATGAGCATAATAAAGAAGCACATTAAACCACAGAATAAGAACCATGAAAAGGGCCCCAGACACAAGGGCAGAGATCACACCTGGGGTTCTCTGAGTAGAAAGGGGATCAGAAGTCACCAGAATTTCAAGAATGGGGCTGACAGGGCCTGAGACAGGCTGTCCTATCCCTTACCTTTCTAGCCAGTACAGTCACCCCTGTGATCACTAAGCAGAGGAGTCCCAGCACAGCAGCCATGGCTCCTCCAAGCAACGGAATCTGGACCTGAGCCGCTGCAGGGAGAACAAACAGGGGTGAGTGACAGCGGTCAGGAGCAAAGCCGCCTTCTCTGGGGACGCCTCAATTGTCTCAAAAAACAGTGCCAGTCATGGGGGTGCACGCCTCTGACCTCAGCACTGGAGAGGCAAGAGGCAGGCAGATCTCTGATTTGGTGCCAGCCTCAAAGGGTGAGTTCGAGGCCAGAGGTGGGATTTTCTAGAACGCTCCTCGGTTGGAGTCTTTAATTTTAACTCTTTGGTCAGCAGAGCATCTACCTGGACCCTGTGGAGTCAGTGGCAGATCTCCCGAGGAGTGACGCACCTTGTGTACACTTTGGACCAGGTTTTGTAATCCTCTCTCCTAATCAACAACTTGTTTTCAGAAATCATGAAATGAAACAATGCCATCTCAAAGGAAACTTGGGGAGGGATGGAGAGATGGCTTGGTGGTTAAGAGCACTGGCTGCTCTTCGAGAGGACCCAGACTTAATTTCCAGCACCTATATGGTAGCTCACAACCTTCTGTAACTCCAGTCCCAGGGGATCCAAACTCTCTCTGACCTCCACAGACACCAGAACCAGGTGCTGCTGCCCAAGACACCCATACACATAAAATAAACAACAAATCTACAATAAAATAATAAAAGGAAACTCAGAAAGTCAATTTTTTCTTTCATCAGTCATACACACATACACACACACACACACACACACACACACACACACACACACACACATATACACACACACACACCCATAGTAGTAAAACTGGTTAATTCATAACTGAAACCAAACTATGGAAAGAAAAAGCGTGTAACTTTTCACCTTAGCTCTGTAGCCTGGGTCTGAAAGCCCGGAGGAGGGAGGCTCTTGCAGCCTCATCCTCTGCTAATTTCTGTCCTCGGTACGTAGTAGATGCTAATTAAATAGCTGTGCTACCTTGAAGAATGACTTCTAGACACTTTCTCCCACATTTCCCTCTTCTCCAGGGACTCAGGCAGGACCCCCAGAGTCCTGGGAAGACGACTTGAAACAAGAGGAGGCCTGGTCCCACTTCCCTGAACTCCAGGGTTGGAGTGTGAGAAAGGAGACTACGGTGTCTGCTCCCTCAGGATAAGGACCGTGCCTGCCAAGCCCAAGGTCCCAGCTTGCTCCTCCTGTTCTGAGGACTTAGTCAGCGTAGGCCAGGCTGGCCCCTTGGTGGACATAGCCGTGGCTCACTCAGGAAGAAAGTGGATAGGAGACCGTGGTGTGGAGATGGCCGGGGTGCAGAGGGGCCTGGAAGGCTCGCTGTGGAACAAGGAGAGGACATGGACAGAAGAGAAGGGCAGAACCACCTTGCAAGTCTGACTTGGTACCGGGTTCTCTTAAAGCTGAAGGGTGAAGCAAGAAGCAGCTAGACTCCTTGTGAAGTTTTAGGGAAGATTATGATGATGAATGTGGTCAAATTTAAGGGTGAGTTAAGGTACGGTTAAAAGCAGAGGGAATTTGGGATATTAAAATTGCCAACTTCGCTAGTTGTTTTTGGTTTAAAATGAAAGTGCCAATTCTTCCATCCACAGCCACAGTTTCAGAACAAAGACTCCAAGGTCTTTGAAACGGAAAGAACCTCAGGGCAACGTGCAGGTAGGGGAGGAATATAATCTACATTAGAGATTCGGTATTATTTGTGGCACCGGGGATTGAACCCAGGGCCTTGTGCATGCCAGGCAACCACTCTACTGCTGAGCTACATCTCTAGCTCTGCTTAGAGAACAGTTTATGCAATACCGTTACTAGGGACGTGGATCAATGTTTGAGATCAGTGCCAGAAGGAGAGCAGGGAGGGAGTTGAATCGAGTAAATGAAGGAAGGTTTGACTTCGGGTAACTGAGTCCTTGAGAGCCATCCAGAGGGGAGTTTCACCGGACCAGTAGTGTTCCCTGGCATTTACGATTACAGGAATGGTAGAACCACTCAGGGTAGACACTGGAGAGGCGTGCATGCCACAGACAGAGTGGACTATGAGAGTGAGGAGGAAGACATTCTTGCCCTCACATCTCTATGGTCACAAAAAGGCAGCTGTGCTGCTGTGCCCAAAGAGGTGTTTTCCATGTCAGGGTTATCAGGCCCTGAGTGTTCTGGCCCAAATATGAGCAGACACACAAGGCTCCTCTCTGGCTTCTGGTTCGGAGGCCTCAATCTATTGGTCCTGCAGTGTGGTGAGAGGCTCTGAGAAATATAACATTGGGGTAAAGAACCCACAGCTGCCACAGACACCACGTGCTTACTGTGAACTAGAGCTCCTGTCCTCTTTATTGTCTGAGCCTCCCCTGAATAAGTGTGATACACAACACTGCCCCACGATCTTATTTGTAACAACTCAAGAGATGATTACATACATCATAGGCCAAAAGTACAAGAAAAATATAAATATCACAAATACCCAGGATACATGACAACATTTAGTTCCAGGCTGTATGATTCTAGAGCCTGGGCTCTTGTCTACTCATTGTATTTAATCTATAATGGAGCCAGCCAAGAAGAAATGTTTGAAAGGAAACTTTAAGGTAAACTTTTTTTTTTTTTTTTTTTTTTTTTTTTTTTTTTTTTTTTTTTTTTTTTGGTTTTTCGAGACAGGGTTTCTCTGTGCAGCTTTGCGCCTTTCCTGGGACTCACTTGGTAGCCCAGGCTGGCCTCGAACTCACAGAGATCCGCCTGCCTCTGCCTCCCGAGTGCTGGGATTAAAGGCGTGCGCCACCACCACCCGGCTAAGGTAAACTTTTATCTGTACATATGTTCTTGAAACTCATGAAGCCTGGGGACCAGAGGGATGACTCAGAGATGAAGAGCACTGTCCATTTTTTCAGAGGTCCTGAGATCAATTCCCAGCAACTTCATGATGGCTCACAACCATCATACTCATGGTTAATACCTAACATGGCACTTGCTATATTCCTGGAGCCCTGCTAAGGACTTTTTCTTACAGTAGGTTGTTCAACCCCATATAGCACCTCATAAAGCCTTAAACCCATCCTCACTGCACAAATGAGAAAAGTGATGCACAGAGGAATTAAATTCCTGTCTGAGGCCAACCAACAGCAAGGTTTGGACCCAAGTTGTCGGACATCAGAGGCTGAGCACTTTAATACCCTGCTAAACTATCTTTCAGATGTGATTTTAATAATCCTTTCCCTCAGTAAAATTGGCTCATGTTTGCAGGAAAATAATCATTATGAGAACATTTGGAAGCTTTGAAGCTTCATCATACAAAGGTGGGTGAATATTTTACATTTACACTCGGCACATGCTGTGCCTTGAGAGCTAAGTCCAATCTGTATGACTGATACTAAATCATTAAATGAGCACCTTTCATGTATAATCTCATCCATGGATCTCATCAGTTTAGATAAGATGTACTTCTCTGTGCAAAAATCAGGGGTTGTGCATGAGAATCAGCTGGATGTTTCTGGAACATATCAGATGTTAGCTCTGTCCCCAAGAGGTTCTGATTTCATCAGCTTGACTGAGTTGCTCTATCTTTACAATGCCCTAAAAGTTCCTCCAGTGAGTTTGATGTGTTCCAGGATTAAGACACGCTACTTCCTAGAATGTCTCAGAATGGTGCTTTCTATGTGAGAGAAAGTGGTTTACCACCTCCCTGCTTCCAGGGACGTACCTGAGCTTTCCTGGACCTTCAGGAATATTCTCCCCTTGTAAATCCCATCAGGATAGGTGTAATAGGTGCAGAAGTACTCCCCAGTATCATTCACTGTCAGCACCTGGAAGGTGAGGCCTAGGCTGGGGCCTGGGACCACCCACTCCCTGAAGACTGAAGTGACATGCCAACCCTGCTCAGCACTATAAACCGCCAGAAGCTGGTCCCGTTGCTCCCAGTTGACTTGGGTCACTTCCGCTGTGTTGGAGAAGAAGTGACACTGTAAGACGACAGAGCCACCTTCCTCTGCAGAAATGTTCCCCCTTGTCTCTATTGTGCCTGCTGTGGCTCCTACGGGAGAGGGAGAAGCACAGGTCAGTCTCTAGCCAGCAGCTGCCCTTCAGCCTTCCAGAAGAATCTCAGGGTGTTTGGAGGCCAGAACTCACTCTAGGAGCAGAAGTCTGTAGCCTGCCGTCTATCCTGGCATTCCCGCATAGAGACTATCATCACTTCCTCTTCTCCTGTCGTTCCAGGCTCCAAGTCCCACCCAGGGCCACTTTCCAGTCTTCTTGCCCTTTTTCCATGCATTCTATCCCAGCCTGTCACTGCTACTTCCAGAGCTTGCTTCTGCCTCACTCTGTCTCATTCCTATCCGTTTTTCAGAGCTGTGCCCCCCAACCTCCTTGAGGACCCCAACTTAAAAGACCTCCCTTTCTCACTGCCTGTGTCGTATAACACCTTATTAAACGCCTGGCTTGTTACTACATGGCTTAGCACTTTGCCCGCTCAGGATATTCTGTGCAGCTTCCTGGCTAGGTGGTTGATTATTTTCATGAGCTTACTTAATCTTCCCACGTAGAATATCAGCCCTGTACTGCTTCTCTACAGTTTCCAGCAGTCTAGCCTTGTGTCTCATCCTATCCTTTGAAATAGAGCTGGTCTATTTGATGGCCATTTGGGATATCAGGAAAAACCTTCAAGAGAGAGGGGGGGGAGTCCTGGGGAAAAGAGACTTGGCAGGAAACCCTGCTGCTCAGCCAGGAGTAGCAGCAGGTGCTTTTAATCCCAGTACATGGGAGGCTGAGGCAGGAGGATCAGAGTGAGTTCCAGGTCAGTCTGGACAACATAGTGAGTTTGAGACCAGCTTTAGAAATGTAGCGAGACTCTGTATCTGTCAAAGAAACAAACTAAAGTAGGAGAGAGAGAGAGAGAGAGAGAGAGAGAGAGAGAGAGAGAGAGAGAGAGAGAGAACGGGGAACAGGGGAAGAAAGGGGAGGGGACAAGAGAGAAGGGGAGGGAAGCCTAGAAGAGAGAAGAGGACAGGGCAGACTTCTCCCAGATGAAAGTGTCTTCATCGCTTACCAGCCACCCCACCTGACCCCAGCTCCTCTCTACCCTCAGAATGTTCTAAGTTCGGACTTTAAACTACTTGGTAGTACTGTCTTTAAATATTTTGCTCTTTTCCCTCAGAAATTTTTATTTACGTTTCTAATACAATAGAAACACAGCAGAATTTAGCCAGTGGTATTAGTAGTAGACCCTGAAATTCCGGGAAGCAGGTATCTCTGATCCACAGAGAACTAGCTGGAATATTTTTCTAGAGCGTCCTCAGAAAGAGAAAGGAAGCTGGAGTGGGCCCCCAGGAGGCTTCTGGGCTTCCATTTCAGTCCGTTCCCCAGCCTCCTTTCTTGTACACCTGACCAGCCAGAGTCCCTAGCCCAGAGGATCTACAAAGTCTGTCTGCTGCAGTCCCAAACACACCTGTATCCCCTTCCCACATGGTCACATAGGGCCCCAGAACCACCCGACATACATGCATATAGCGTGTACCCAGAACCTTCTCCACCTGAGCACCCTGGTCTCTGTGCTAAGCCCGCCTCCCCAGCTCTGGTACGTCTGCCGGCCTTACCTGAAGTGAGGAAGGCAGCCGGTATCAGCCCCTGGACCCAGATCAGAAGCAGCCAGCCATGCATGCTTCTGACCAGAGGGCCTACAGGAAGCAAATGTGGCCTCTCCTCTGACTGAAAACTGGCCCACTGCAGGTGTGAGGTGAAACCAAGCCTGTGAGAAGAGGGTCTCGGAAAAACTGAGTTAGGTACGAGCAGCGTCAAAACAGAGAATGCTCTTAGCAAGTACACAAGCTGCGTAGAGCGAGCCACAAGAAAGGCCGTGAAGGAAACACAGCGAAAAATCAACAGAACGTGTGGTTAGAGGGCTACGGGTCTAGGGTGACTCGTAGTCAATCTGTTGTTTTTACATTACCTTGATGCACTTTTTGAAACACCAGCTTTTATTTTCTAAAGCATTCAAGGGGCGTCTAGGTGAGGGACAGGATTCTGAGGAACTATTTCTGGTGAGTCAGGTCCCCTGCCATTGCCCTGCTGAAGAATGTGCAGCCACAGGGGAAACTTTGGTGTGGGCACTTACGGAACCATCACCGGATTTAGACTCTAGTGGCTAGGGACAATTCATGGGTGAGACAAAGGCCCTGGGCGAACAGCAACTCTCCCTTCCAAGAGGCCCTCTTCTCAACTCTCATTCCTTTTGGGCTCTTACTATCCAGGTTTGTCTTTGCTTGCATTGAGGGTCAGCTTCCCTAATGCAATAGAAACAGCAGAGAGTAGAAAAGTGAGTTTTCCTGCAAGCTGTTGACCCGTGAGAGTTGAAGTACAGAAGAGTGAGCCCCAGAGGTGACCAGGAAAGGCAACGGCCACACTTATCTAAGGCTCTTAGCTGCTCACTAGGCCCAGCTGTTGACCTATCTACTGGGGTTAGGCTTAAATGTCAACTTGACCCAAGCTCGAATTACCAGGAAAGAGTCTTAGGGAGGGACTGTCTAGATCAGCTTGGCCTGTGGGTGTGTCTGTGGGGGAATATGTTGATTGCCTTAATTGATGGGGAGAAGACCAAGCCAGAATGTGGTGGCTCCATCCCCTGACCTTGGGCCCTGGACTACGTAAGAGCAGAGAGCTAGCTGAGTATTAGACACGCATGCATTCCCTTCCCTCTGCTCTTGACTGTGGATATGACACCAACAGCTGTTTCAAGTCCCTGCCACCGTGGCTCTGCCACAGTAACAGATGTGCCTAGCATTCCGGCCTAAACTCAAATCTCTCTCTCCTCTAAGTTGCCTTTTGTAAGGGCAGCAGCAACAGAAATGAACCAAGAGCAGCATCTTTCCTTTGTCTCTCCCTCTTTTCCTGCACTCAAAAGTTCCTGAGTGCCAATGAGCATCAGGCTCTCAAGATGCGAGAGTGAGCAAGTATCGGTTAGCACTCAAAGAGTTGACAAAGCTTGGTCTCTGTAAAGCCACTGGGAAAAGGAGTCGGAGGGGACGCACTTACTTGTTGCCTAGGCTCTTGACAGAGCTCTATACTGGCCATGCCCATGGTGTACTGAAAATCTGCATTCCCACCCAAGCCCCACGCCCGGCCCATTTCACCAAGTGCACAAATCATCTTCAACGTCTAGGCTCCTGTTCTTCTCCTCTGCGTGCAGGGTTCTCTATCTCAGATCAGTTTTTTCCCCTCCCTGGGTTCTGCAAATCTATACCATGACTCATGCATGCCTATGCCCCTCCTCCAGACACTTAGATAGTATTTGCCTTATCAGCTTCTCTGTACCCACTCAAGCCCAACCTTCAAGGCTCATATTAAAATGTATCTCTGACTCTTTTTGCTGTTGTTGTTTTGTTTTGTTGAGACAGGGTTTCTCTAGGTAGCCCTGGCTGTCTTGGAATGCCCTGTGTAGACCAGACTGGCCTCAAACTCAGAGATCTGCCTGACTCTACCTCCCCAAAACTGGTGTGTGCCACTACCAGCTGGCTTCTCCACGACCTTTTAACATCCAAATGTCTTTCAGCTGAAGCAGCAGTAAGACCAAACACGTGTCCAGGGTAAGATGCCGGGACTAGACAAGGTGAGTGTTGCCAAACTTGGTCACCCAGGCAGATAAACCACAGACACAAGAGCAGGTAGTAGGAATACACAGAAAATGGCCAGAAAAATGAACAGCCTGCTTTTGCATAATGGTGTGGGTAGAAGCCAAAGGAGTTAGACTTGATCCATTTAAGAAATGTAAAAACTTAAGAGCTGGCTTTAAAAAGGTAAAGTTAAAGACTTTTTGCCCCAGAGAGATGGTTCAGTAGTTAGGGGTGAGCATCGCTGAGCATGACCACCTGAGTTGGCTCACTGGGACCCACGTGGTAGAAGGAGAGAGCTGACCCCCACAGCTTGTCCTCTGACCCCTATACCGCGCCTGTGGTATGTGTGTACCCTCACACCTGTACCCATTCACCCACACATATATACGCATTCGTACAAAAATATATGTGAAGATGTCTTTAAGACTTCTCTGAGGTGGCTGGAGGGATGGCTCAGCAGTTAAGAGCATGTGCTATTCATCCAGGGAACCAGAGGCTAGCTCCCAGCGCCTGTACCAGGCAGCTCACGACGGCTTGTAGCTTCAGCTCGAAGGGATCAAATCCCCTCTTCTGGCCTCCTCGGGCACCTGCAGACACGTGGCGTGTACTCATACAGTCGCACACATAAAAAGAATATAACCCTTTTCAAAAGACCATTTCAACCAGCGCTGGCCTTCAGAAACAGTCGGGGTAACAATGAGTAGATTGTGGAGTCAAATGTCTGAGACCAAAGTCGCCCTTGTTGGGCATGCTTTTAAAAACCAGGGAAGCAGGCCTGGTCTGCTGTGGGGCCAGTCAGTGGCCCCTAGAGCAAAATGTGACCCTCTGAGGTCCATCGGGGCTGACTCCAATTTCAACTTGAAAGAGCTAACATGAGCCCTGTACTGCCTTTGACTCTCCTGGCCATTGGACAGAGAACTATGTAGGTCTGCTCAGCCTTCCTGCAGCTAGCTGGAATTGGGGGGAAGTTGGGGGGCCAAGGTAGGTGCTGGGGGAGGATTTCATATTTGCCTAGGAAGGCACAAGGAGTACTTGCCTAGCTGGTCAGTGGTGGCTCACACCTTTAATTCAGCACTCCAGAGGCAGGCAGATCTCTGAGTTCAAGGCCAGCCTGGTCTACAGAGTGAGTTCCAGGACAGCCAGGGCTACACAGAGAAACTCTGTTTTGAAAAAAACCCCACCACCACCCCCTCAAAAGAAGAAGTACTTGCCTAGTTGTAAAACAATACCCAGACATCTCTTCACAGACCCTGTCTCTCCCTGAGCGAGCTCTGAGCCCCAGCCAGTTCCTCAGGACCAGACTTGAAAACCTGAGTCTGCAGATGCCACCTCTCTGAGGGAAAGGGAGCTCAGAGTGACCATGCTATCCACAAGGCTGGTGACTTGTCCCAGTTCCACTCAGCAGTGTCTTTGAGCTTCAGCTCTCAGCAGCCCACCCACCCCTTCCCACCCCCAGCTTAGAAAGAGCGACAGGAGCTCCAGACCTCTTCTAGCTGTCTTGTCCCTCAAGTCCCTGCCTCCAACCAAAGGAAACAACCCTACAGACAGAGGGGCCAGGGGCTCAATTCTTATCAGGTGCTTTGCCTCAGTGTCCCCAGGACTAGGACCTCCTGCTAGTCCCGCACTCCCACCCTCACCCCCCAACCCCTGCATTGTGGCAGAGGGCAGCAAGAGGCTCTACTTACCCTTCCCCTGCAGGGTGCAAAGAGAAGAGATAGGAACAAGCCACTCCCAACCCTAGGAAGAACATGCCTTGTCTACCATAGCCATTATAAAGCCACCTGTGGATGGAGATGTCTGCCCAATGGAGTAGACCTGAAGCTGCCTCAGAAAATCAGATACTCAATCCAAAAGGAATGTTTAGGATCTGAGGCGTATGAGCCCTGGAGCCTATGGCTAACAGCGGCTCACAGCGAATGCAGCTGAGGATTTCTGACTTGGTTGTTGTTCAAGTGCTCTTTGGGAGAGGTGACTGGATCCCTACCGCTCCCATAAGCCGCCACATTCAGTGGACTCTTCCTGGCTGTGAAAACGGGACAGAAGGCCCTAGAATTGATGGGCATGCCGAGTCAGAAGTCACCAGGAAGAAGCAACTGACCCTGCCTCCTCAGCCTCAGCTTGCCCTCAGCTTCTTGCCACAGATCTGCTTCTCGATGACCCCCTTCCCTTTTCTTCCAGAAATTGCATGACACTGTCGTATAGTTAGAAAAACTATTCAATGCACTTGCTGAGGCACGGTATCAGAACATCATCATGGATATCATTACAGACACACAAACGGGATTTTGACGGTGGGGCAAAGAGTTGGGATCAACTCCAAATACAACATGTGCAACTGGGAAGGAGTAGCCAAGGAACCAGAGGTCACAGTGCCTGGAAAGCTACAAAGAGGAGCCTCAGGTTAAGTGGACCTCTTCCTAAACTGGCCTAACAGAACTGTTGCAGGTTCCAGTGGAGAAGGTCCAGACACCATCTGTGAAGTGGTGGAGGAGACAGGTCAGATAAGCAGTGTGATATGGAAGAAGGTTCTTGCTCAAGTGAGTTTTGCCGGGTTCCAGGCTAACACTGGGTTCTAGAGGAGAGCGCACGGATGGGTTAAGAAGGTTCACAATCTGCCTAAATTTGGTGAAGTAAATAATCGTCGTCACTGTGCATCCTTACCCTAACAAGTGTGCTGTTAAAGAACACTAACCACCCCTTCCCCTGTCTGCCTTTGAGATTTTTACCCCTGGAATCTTACTTCCTACTCCCTAGTCATCCAAGACAACTAGTTCTAGGATTGAGGCACAAGTGGGCATACCTTCCCAACAACCCTTGATCACAAAAGGCTCCCTCCACCACAACAAAGAGAATGGCAAGCCTGGATGATTTCACAGGGGACCAAGACCTTTAAAGAACAGGTATTTTTCTGTTACCAAAAGCATACCGGTGTAAACATAGAGGAAATTCTCCTAATTAGTTCCATGAACTGGAAATTAATACAAAAATCATTAGGATTATAAACAACAAAAGACAACCAAATTTAAATCTTTCTTCAAAACATTGAGAGAAAAATTCTCAAAAAAATATCCTGACACAGACTCAGGAACGTATTAAACAAAACATACAATGATTAGGTAGGGTTCATTCCAGGATGTCGAGAAGGATTGAAAACTGGGAAATCCATTGGTATTATTATATCTGTATTTTAAAGCATGTGGTCATTTCTTTTTATTATGATAACAAACCTGAAAAAAACATGACTGATTTTTAAAATGCTCAATAGAATAAAAATGAATGTATTCTTTCTTCCTTCGCATAATTATGTACACTCAGCTCCAAAGCTAATGTCTCTTTTGATGACAAAACACTATAGGTATTTCCACTAAAATCAGGAATGAAGTGCCGGGAGTACTAGGCAATCCAATTAAGACCAGCATTTAAAGGTATAATTAGAAAAAAGGAAATAGAATTATTTCTAGTTATAGCTGATTATGTGTGTTAAAGACTCAATGGTAAGAAAAAAATACCATTAGCAACAACACTTTCGTAAGCTGGAAGTATATAAGATTAGGATAAATAAACAAACAGTCTCTCTATATGCAGCTAGTAAAGAGTTAACAGCTATTTTGAAAGAAAACGCCTACTTACCTGCAAAGGCAGAGGGAAGAGCCAGAAAATGTACAAAAGCCATAGAAAGAAAACTTTGCACCAGTGAACTTTCTATCCACATGTATGGGGGAGGGGTGCACGAAATCATGGGTGCGGAGGTCAGAGGACACCTGGAGCGAGTCCACAGAGGTGAATTCCTTTAAAACCCTGTACCCACAAAATGTAATCACAAAATTGGCAGGAAAATGGGTGGACTTAGGATGAATCTTATTAAGTGGGGTCTCCTAACCTCAGAAAAGAAACGATAGCCTCTTCTCCTTTATAGTCAGACTCTAACCAACAGTGTAGAAGGTTTGGGTGAGATTCTACATTGGATTAATTGAGGTGGAAAAATCCACTGTATCTGTGGGTGGTACCATTCCTTAGGCCGGGATCTTGGACTGAATAAAAAGAAGGAAGCAAGCTGGCCACCAGAATTTCTCTCTCTCTTTCCTGACTACAGGTGCAGGTGACCAGCTGCCTCCAACACCCGCCACTGGGTCTTCCTGACTACAGGTGCAGGTGACCAGCTGCCTCCAACACCTGCCACCGGGTCTTCCTGACTACAGGTGCAGGTGATCAGCTGCCTCCAACACCTGCCACCGGGTCTTCCTGACTACAGGTGCAGGTGACCAGCTGCCTCCAACATCTGCCACCGGGTCTTCATGACTACAGGTGCAGGTGACCAGCTGCCTCCAGTGTCTGCTACTGTGTCTTCCTTACCATGATGGACCTAGAGTCTCAGTATGAGCAGAACAAACCGTCCTGCAGTCCCTTTTGACAGGTAGTTCATCATAACAATGAAAAAGTGACTGATGTCTCTTAACAAACGGAATTCCCAGAAGTCAAAATGAAAAGGCCAACAACCCCTAATGTATCAAAGTAGTGGGCTGACAGTGCATTGAAAAAGAAATACCAGTGTTCCTAAATCACACGGATAGTTCTCAACTTCAGTCTTAAAGGGAGAGGTGAGCATCACAGGTACACTGTGATGCCTGTTTTCCTCCCATCAAATTGATAAAATCAAAATTGGATAGTGGATTCTGTTGGGGAGGCTGTGAAGAAACACGTACTATGTATGTTGTTATTAGGGGGGCAAAATGATACAACTTCTGCAGAAAGAAATTCATTGGCATCTCCCATGACTACGGCTGTGTTTACCCTTTAACCGGAAATCCTACTTCTGTAACTTCAATGAAGTGAATGCAAAAATATAAAATGACACATGACTGAAATTCCTTATTAGAGCATTATGTGTACAAGTTTTGTTAAAAAGGAAATGAAGTATCTACTAATAGAGGAATAATTGAATAGACTAGAAACTTCATATAATGGAAAACTAGACAACTATTTAAAAAATATTAGGTTGATGAGACTGGACAGATGCTCAGTGGCTAATACCTAGAGGATCTGAGTTTGATTCCCGACACCCAAAAGGGTAGCTTGTAACAGTCCTTAATTCAAGTTCCTGGGGATCTGACTCCCTGTCCTGGCCTCCGTTAGCACCAGGCAAGCAAGTGCTGCATAAAAGCAAAACACCCATACACATAAAATAAAATGAAAATGAAACCAAGCATCGTGGCATAAATGTTTCATATCAGCACTCGGAAGGCAGAAGCAGGTGGAGGATCTCTGTCAGTTCAAGATCATCCTGACATCCTGATTAAAAGAAAAAAAGAAAAGAAAGAGAAAGAGAGAGAGCGGGGGGGGGGGGGGGGGGGGGGGGGGGAATTGGGTTGAGCCCAGTGTTTTATTACAGAGTGAATCCTGTGAGATCTTGTCTAAAGAAAAATGAGGTGAGACCTTTGTGGAAAGAAAAGAAAGGGAAGTAAAAATTTGAGTATGCATTTGCCTCTGTGTGTGATCTTGTAAAAATTATAAGAAATAACCAGAAATGATTTTTACACTAATTAGTTAGAGAACAAAAGATTCTTGGGGAAGAAAAGATTGGGATGAAAGAGGAATTTCCTCCAAAGTATAATACCTATATGTAACTATATTCAAAAATATATGTTGTGGTCTGAATGTTTGTGTCTAGCCAAAGTTGACATGGGAACCTCAGCGTGTAGGCATGAGGAAGTAGGATCTCTGGGGAGTGCCTAGTGATGAGAATGAAGCCTTCAGAAAGTCTGGTACCCTTACTAAAGAGGCTGAAGTCACCACCAAACAATATTGAAGAGAAACAACCGAACTGGGTCTAAAAGCAATAGCAATCACTCAAGAAAGCTTCCTTCCAATTGAGTTTGAAACTCAGCACTTGGCTTTCCTTTGGCGGGATATTCGGCTGCTCCTTGACTTCTATACCGCCCCACCCCACCCCCCAACCAGCCACCTGTGCTGCGATAAACCCATCAAAAGTGAGGAAATGGGACTTCTGAGTAGACGCTGAATTAGAAGCCCCACTAAAACATGATGAAAAACCAAGTAGTCAAGATAACATACAGTGAGTTTTTGCTACATATTACTGTATACTGTATACTACAAAAGACAAGGTCTACAGACAAATTTATTAAGCCAGGGAAGATCTCTGCAAAAAAAGTGGGCAGGAGAGCTGAAAAACAGAGCCCATTTGCAAGCCTTGAGGAATCTGCACCACAAATTCAAACTAAACTGCCTAGGAGAAAACAGTAGGAACTGACAGGGAGGTATGCACAGCTCCCCCATACAGGGATGCTTGCATGGGACCAGAAGAGGCCATGATGGAGGATGGAGCATGGAGGGGTCCGGGAGGACTATCAGGAAAAGACTCTCCCCTTCCACTCTTCCCTTCCCCATACCCAACACACACGAAA